AGATGTGTATAAGAGACAGGCAAAATAATTTGTTGGAATGTTAAAACTGATAAACATTGCTGTAAAACGTTTTGTTATTCTAGCAATCATTTTGATTTTCGCACAAAATTATTTTGATTATTAAATAAAAATTATTTTCAGATCTGGATTCAGCAAAATTGTTCTTTCCGTGTAGCAATCTCATTGAATAAAATTTCTGGACTTAACTAATCTTGTTAAAAATGGACATGAGATTGAAAGCGATTGTTTAAACATCAGAATAGAAAACAATAGAGAGATTGGAAAATTAGTGAATATAGAATATTGGGGAATAAAAGCATACGATTAAGCACTATGAAGGATACGATTGATGAATCGATTTAGCCTGCCCACTGACAGCTGTGACAAACGTTTATGATCAATACTATTACCTGAAAATATTCTCGAGACGTACAGCCACATGGGGGAATTGGCGCATATTATGCAAATCCAGCTGAAGATCATCGGCAGTCCCGTTAACAGGACAGACGTCTTGCTGCCGATACATTCTAAGAGAACAGATCCGACGAAGGCGCCTAAGAGACGTCCGAGTGGCAATAGAGAGGCTATCCACGACCCTTCATCGTGCGTTACGCGAAACGGCGGGTCCTCGCCGGTCAGTTGCGCCAAGTAAGGCGACGTCCAACCGATCGCGAGACCAATACTGATGGTCAATAAGGTCACTGAGGCATAATATTTTGTTATAATATATGTCGCGAGAAATCGCATGCAAACAGTCTACTCGTCAGTTTGTAGAAAATATACAAGATACATATAGGGACATATCGATTTGATATTAAATGCAAATCTTGTCTTAAACTGGATTAAACTTCGTGAATTAACTAACCTATTAGAGTTGCGAACCACTGAGGCCACAGTTGAAGTAGAGGTCCGAATATTTTTGCCATTTTGATTTCGAATCCGCCACGCTGTTGCACCTGATAAAAATACAAATGGGACGGATGAGAGACACATGATTATTGCTATTCTATTGTACATGATTGCAACTATTTTCATTCTTGCAACTATTTTCTTTCATCTCGATCGATGTTCCATTTGTCAAATGACGAATTTTTTTTCGGACCTGCCGATTGGCTGTCGGAGGAAGTGGACTATCGGGATTCCAGAAATTCTCTATTCGATAGCGAATCAGCGCGTTCGACAAACTTGTCGCGCGAATTATTAGACTTACAAGTCTTTGTATTGTACGTGGAATTTAAGGAATCACTGGACACATTCGATATTTTATGGAATAAATCTTGAAAAGTTCGGAAATCTATTCGCCCGCAGATGCACGTTTTATGATATATCGAGGAAATTACGGTTATCTCCGGCTTGAACTGTCACTTCATCGGATTCGCACACATCGGCACTCGTTTATTTCACATTGGCTGCGGCGCGTACATTTTTCATTTATTTGGCGGTGAAAATCATTTTTCGACAATGGGATACGTCAATTCAGCGACGAGTCGGCGGTGACGTCTGTCGATAATACAAGTTTGATTCAAGAATAAATAGTCGTTGTCGTGGTACGCCACGATAAACGTGTATAAAATAAGACACTTGTATTCACACGGATTAGGTATTTAATGAGAAAAAAATTAGGGTGGGGCGAAAAACGCGTATAATGGATTTCTTTCTTTTTTTTCCTAGAACATATTCGGCGCCGCTTTAGCTTTCTAATTGAAGTAGACACACACTCACACACACACACATTGCCTTTGTTATTTAAAATTACTCCGGTCATTCTATTGTGCAAAGTTTTCCCGATTTGCACGTACAAATAGTGCCTAAAGTGTTTTATATTATCACTTTTCTTTTTACACACTTGTAACACGTAATCGTGAACGTGTTCCTCTGAAATGTGATCATAAAAAAAAATTCAATTTCAGCTTTGGCGAAATGCAAAGCTTTGAAATGAAATACTCGAAAATATCACGATGTCGAACAAAAAGAACATTCAGAAAAAATTGTGATATTTTTAACAGCTTGCAAAAAACCCATCAGGCTTTATAACGGTACACTGATGCTGTTAATGGCATCGCTCGGAGACCAATCGTAAGTGCTAAGTACACATTCAATATACCGATATAATATAGAAAACCGACGAGATCCTCTATTTGCGCCGTTTGGCGGTAAATCGTTAAATGTGTAACATTCGAGTACCCCTTTTATCATAAAAATTGTTGCGTATGTTTGATCAATACGATCGTTCGCGCAGCTCTAAACCGTTAATTTCAGCAGTCCCTGATGTGAAAATTAATTCCGCACGATTGCCGTTAAATAAATCCTTCGAGCGACCGCGCATCCTGACGATGTTGCGCTCTTCGATGTGTAACGAGTAACAAAGTACCTCTTTGTTTTTTCTTTAAACAACGAAACTAGAAAAAAGATAACATTTTGATACGAAATATCGTTCGCTCGCTTTACTTACAGTGAACGTGAACATTTAATGCATATTCACTTATGTAAACTTCACCGGGAGAGATATGCCCTCTCGCCTTTGCGTAAAAGGGGAAACTTCATTTATATTTTTAGTAAAGCGGAATTACGTCGCGTGATCTGGAATTTTTCCTGAATTTTTATTCAAATCCAAAGGAATTTTTTCCATATCACGTTTGACTCTCTTCAGGATTTAATTTTTATATAATTTAACTCTCCAGGATTCAATATTCACAGCGACAATTAACTTGAAATTGACTAGACTAGCTTAGATTTATTATCAGCAAGAAGAGACAGAGCTGATCTCCGTTCAATGGTCGAATGATTTCGCATGTTTATTCTCTTCGTACGTACCGTCGGAAAAAAATCCACTGATATAAAAATGTCACTGATAACAAAAAGCTCAACCGTTAAAATCAAGTAACAAGTTTGTGTTGGGCGATTTAACGGAAGTGCGAAAACTCTGTTGCGTGTTGCGCGGCGTCGCGAATCTCGGAACGGCGATCTTCCGGGCGCGCGTTGTTAGGGGCGAGCGGCGACGCCGAAACCGGCGTGGAAGCCGAAAGCTAACTTAAATGGAACGGAATAGGATTACGTCACACGAAGGGGCACTACCGTCCTCCCTGGTCTCTTACGGCCGGAGGATAATGGCTTTCGAAACGCAGCCTCTCCCGGCGCTCTCCCGGTTCTTGCGCCGCGGAATATTTCGTCGTGTCGCGTCGCGTGGCCTCTCTTTATCTGACGGGGGCGGCAGAGGCGAATGAGGAGAGTTGCGCGCCCGTTATTTACATCGCATTATCTATAGTTGACGAGTTTATGACTCCTGACATTGCTACTTTCACGTCTACTACATTCTTCTTCCTTCACGACCTCCGCTTTGGCCGCCCCTGCTGCGCGCCGAGCGCGGCAAGCGGGATGGTGGTTATCCGGTCGCTTCCGTGAAACGTCCATTATGCATACTACGTTATACGTAATTAGAGACCGTAATGTGGTAAGTCAATTCTTATTATATCGCGCAAGCCTCGCTATCGCTTTGCGCAACTTTCGTAAGCTTGATCCAGCGCGATCTTATACTCACCGCCAGGCGATACCTTATCACGTTTGTTGATTCTCGGCATTAAAGTTGTTGACGTTATTTATTGCGTTTCAATTCAGCAACTCATGTAACTCTTGATTTTCACGCACGCGATTGTAATGCGCGTCAAACACGCCGCGCGTTTGAGAAGAGCACGAATCTTTCATTGAGGTAAAAGACATGTATTCGATGCGTGCTGTAACGCACCGCGCGGCAACGCATATATATAGAAATATCGTACATATATATGTATACATATGTACATTTATATATATATCGCTCATTTAAACACATTGCGTGTATTTGATAAAATTCAAATAACGTACGAACTCGGATTTATATGTATTCGCATTGTTGTTTACACTTGCATACCAGATAATAATATTTATAATAAGCACGAAATAATAATCAGATGTCAGATGTCGTGAACTCGGATCAAGGCGAAACTTTTATTTCTTTTAGCTGCTATTGCTTGTGAGATAGGGAAATATAACGAACACATTCTACGGTATATTTTCTACGAGCAGGCTGGAGGAACGTTTCCTCGGTAGATGAAGACGGTATATTGCTACAAGTAGCGCTAGTGAATTACACGGGACTCTTCCTGCGCAGAAGGAACTTACAAAGTGGAGACTCGTGTAGCGCGCCGACAGGCCGCTGCTGGGAGAGGACGACATTTACTTTACAAGCCCTTTAAATAGTTATTAAAAATATACGGGTTTCTCGGTCTTTTATGGTGATTGAAGTAGATTAGCTTATTCAACGCGGTAATGTCTAAACGATGTTTTAACGACATTGACACTAATCAAGGTGTAATTAAGATATAAATTGACAATTTGTATAAATATTGTTTTCCACAGAGAATTTCTGTGCGATAAGCTTGTGTAAATTCGCTATCCAGATAGTCTTACATAATGTGATGTCATTGATTTACTTATCGCGTTTTAACTGAGAAAGGAATAGCGCGCGACCGGGTGCACGATCGGGCACGTTCGAAAATCTCGATTCTATCGCGCGATGCTCGAACTGGAAGGTGTGCTCGATAATAAGCACACCTGACGAAATTCAATTATGCGATTCCCGTGGGCGAGTAATCCAATTTGCACGTCATCAAGCCGCACTCGGGGAAACCGGTTCGAAGACTAGCCCGTCAGTATACGGAAGGGAAGGGGGATATACCTATACCAAATATTGAAGTTCCTGGATTGCAGGACTGCCCTCGGGGACGCCAAATAACCCGCGCCGACCTCTCCAACCTACGCGGCTATACGATTCGTCTGAACGACGGGTGTAATTGCCTGTAATCTACCGCGACGCGGTCGCATTACAGAGATCATTTAAGGGGGAGAACCGCCGCCGCCGCCGTCGCCGCCGCTCGGCACGGGTCTCGCCAACATTATCGGTAAACGTTGTTCAAAAACAGTTTGCGAGTTTAGATTACTGACAGTTGCGAATTGCTTGATACACCTCACGTATATGTCATAAGCTTGGTGCAGCGCGGAGAATGAAACGCTAAATTCTATTTATCGTGTAATTAAAATTTTAAGTCAATAGCAAACTTCACGACATTATGTACTTTACGTTGATAACTGAGCTACATTGTAATTTATTTCTTTCGTTATCTGTTTTTCTCTCTGTTATTGTTAATGCGTTGCCTATTACGTAGATTTCAATTAGCTATCCGCAAAAAAACTAGTTGAAAATCGTGCGTTTGTTGTGTTATTGATTGATAAGTGTAATTGCGACATGTACCTACCATTTATTTAATCATCTTTATATTAGTATCACACATCTCATTGGTGATATTAACTTGTAACTGACTGTATATATGCATGCTTCATATGCATGTCAGTATGGCACGTCAGTAACCTCGATGATCCCTATATACTGTACTCAATATATCAATACTAACAATACTTGCAAATTATCAATGATGCAATAATAAGATGCAACGTTTTATGCAACTCATAAGGGAACACAATCAAGTATCCTCTTCCGATTTTAATAAGCTTTGAATATTTCAAAATATAGACAAGAAATGAGAAGTATTTTTTCATAAGTGCTCGCACGTTAAGGGGAATCCTTTACGTTAATGAAATCCTCCCATGAAAAAAATCAGTTTCTTTTTTTCGATGTAAATATTATTTATACCGTGAAAGATATAAAAAAATATTTTAAATAAAAGTTTTAAAACATTTGATGCATTAAAATTTTTTAATAATATATTTTTCAGTACACTCCTATCGTTAATTTTCAAAAAATTTTAAATTTTTGTAAAAACAAAAATTAAAGAACGTTTTCCGCTAAAAATTACAATAATTATGACCCGAAAACGCATATGAGAAACATTTCTATACGCGCGTTCCATACGTATTCGTCGCATACCGGCAACTTGCGAGATAGCATTGACGGTATATATACAACACAGTCTATCAGTATATGTACAGTATATGTACAGTATATAGTATCAATATAGAAATAACTATTGAAATAATAACTTTTTTATAATAATAATAACAATAACAATTATAATGGTAATAATAGTAGTGAATTGTTCCTGCTAAAATCAATCAAATATTTTTGATGATATATCAAAGAATTGTATGATTTTGGACAATTAGAAACAAGTTACGAATAAAGAAATTATTATTTTTATAAAATATTTTGATAAGAATATTATTATTTTTATTAAATAACTATTTTATAAAATATTTGATTTTGAACATAAAGCAGCAATATTTAATATATTTGAATATATTTTATTGATTAATATTTATATATTTGATCCTCAGTATTATTATATTGCATGAATTAAAACTGCATTGTTTCCTAAAACTTATAAATATTATTTAAATATATGTTTATCTATTTCTAATATGACAATTATTAAAGTAGAGAGAGAGAGAGAGAGAGAGAGAGAGAGAGGAAAAAGAGAAAAAATGATTTATTTATAATACCTAAATTTTATACCTTTGAAACAGTTGTTATCCTTGAAGGAAATCTATTAAAAGGAAAAAAAATAATTCTGTACAATATATAAGTGACATATTACTATCTGTAAGTATTTTAAAAATATGATTAAAATTTAGGACTGTTTGGCAAATTTTAACAATTAAATGAAACAAAATTTACTTTTTTAATTAAAAAGAAACTATAAGTAAAAAATTTATATAAATATAAACAATAATAAAAACTTTAAAAGTAGATATTTACTATTAAGCTTGCATCACTCACAACTAATACTTTTTGATACAATAAACTCAAGTACAGAACTGCGAATTTCTTATAACGATTTGCTCTTTTTTATACCGATGTTCATGTCAACAATGCAGAGATATGTGCAGACAAGAATATGCGTCAGCAAATTTGTTTTCTGTATAGCATTGCGATAATGATGAGGCTTTACGACACATTTATATGTGAGTTCAATCAAATATATTCGAATATATTGAACACTACAATTAACTGCTCTGCGGTCAAAATTGAATGAACAATATTTTATATAAAAATAATTTCTTTATTCATAACTTATTAACTTGTTTTTAATTGTCTAAAGTATTTTGTACATTCTTTGATTTACATAAAAAATATTTAAACTGTTTCAGCAGTTTAACAAATTCACAAAATTTTAAAATTTTTTAA